ACGGCGATGGAACTAGCACGCCAAACTCGGGCAATGCCCCCTGAATGAGGATCTCATTCTTCGAGCTCAAAAAAACCACAAGACTACAAGCGCAGGCGATATCTCGAATGCGAATGAGCTTTTGCCCATCCGATGCCCTCCCCATGGCTAGAGAAGCGGCGCCGCTAGAGCGGGGATCGATAAAGGTGCGGATAAGTGGGATCGGAACGGGCTCAAAGGCGTTGCCGCAGCACACCTTCCTCACCGGGATGTTGTTCTCCTTAAAAAATTGAATCTTAAAGAGCCTCATCGGTGATGTCATCCAGATCGCCAGCTTTCCTCCCCCCTCCCCCTCCTCGGGTGTGGCACCCAAACAGGGGGAGTTAGTTCTCGCGAGGGATCCAAACGACGTTTTGGGGGCCCGCGACGAGGTCGTAAAACGGCTCCGGCGCCCCGTTCCTTCTCCTCCCGATGCTGAAATCGGCGATGCTTTACTGAATTCACTTTACTAGGAGGGGGGAGGGGAGGGTTTTCAAGAACACCTCCGCCGGGGGGAAGGGTATGGGCCCACAGATGGACCCCATTCCGATCATTCGCGTGTGCAATCGCTTTAATATTTGATACGAGCCCCCTCGCGTGGGTTGTCGCTCATCTGTCTGGACTCTCGAGCGTTCCACGAGGAGATGTGGTTGCTAATTATCTTCTAGCTTACTAAGCGTGTTTTGATGGCCGCGAGAAGTCCGGAGGGGTCAGGCACCAAGAACATGGACAGGATCAAAAAAAATGTAGAAGGGTGGACTTGCATCATAAAAAAAGCCCGAGAAAGTCATGCCTCAATCACGTTTGATAATTTCACCCACCCCTTGACAGAAGCATCAGGGCGCATAAAGAATCATTAGAACTAAATCAACACACGACATATCCGTTGTGGCGCCCCCTATTTTGGTGCACCCTTTGCTCTTCAAATTTGAAATCACACATCTGATGCGGTACTAAAACCAATATATTTATATATTTAATAATAATAATAACCTATTCTTGTCAGATGACATCTATTCACATATTTTATGCGTTGAACCCACAATAAAAACGTAAAAAATAGTATGAGGGTTCGCGTGCCATCCCATTTTACTCAGCGATTTCCCTCAAATTAGTGGTCAAGTACTGCTGCTGCATTCGTTTCATAAAGCGGGTTAGCGCGTTATATTGGAATATCGAACGAGCTAAAATCTCCAGAATGTTGATCGTCAGCCCGATGCCGATGAGGGAGGTGGTGGAGCGGTTCTTAATGCGGTCGGCATCCCTTACCAGGTTGAACATCACCTTCCCGTAGTGGTGCAGCGTTTCCTCCATTTCCACGTCCACCTTACGCACCGTATTCGGATCCACCTCGAATACGTCATACTTAATAATCGAGAAGCTCACCCACTTCGGGGAGAACAACGAGAAGGAGTTGTCAAAACAGATGGTGATCTCCGCGGGAAGCCCGTGTTTGGATTCCTCCACTTTTGGCGCCGCGTACGTTAAACTTCCCTCCGTCGCTCGAGACCAGGTGTTGAGGACCTCCGTTCGTTGTTGATCGCGAATCTCCCGGTAGTAATCGGTATAATGCACGAGCATCATCCGATTAACGCTGTCAAACGCGAGCGTGTAAGTGGTCGTCGCGACTACGCCGATGTGAAACGAACCTCCATCTATAACGCGGAAGTTAAACCCCAGCGTACCGCCGACTTCGACGATCTCGGAGTAGCACTCTTCTCACTAAAACGATGAGAGAGCAGATGAAATGACGTTGGTTGAAGGGTTTATTATTTAATTCCCAGTAGTTGCGGGGGGGGGGGGATCGAACCTGACGTGTGATGGAGAAACTGTACGGAGGGGAACCTTCGCACAACGAGAGCGAGATGGAGGCTAGCCAAAGATGTGAAGTAGACGCCATACGTAATCCACAATGAGTATGGGGTTCTATTTGATTGGTCATGCCGCCATTCCGTGTGTGGTGGAAGGCTCCCTCGAGTCCTAATCCATAACCACATCCTCAACTTTCCATATTGAAAATAGAATTATTACATCAACTTCCCTTCACGCTGCTTTTTGAGCTTCCGTACACTATGATACAGCATCGCGTCGATGAGGCCCGCCACCGTGAAGACCCCCCCGCACACCGCACAGAGTTGCAGGAGAAAATGCACGAAAGACGGGTACGGGTGACTGCGCATGATGTGAACTTTAATCGGCGATAAATCGTACGAGATGAAAACCCCAGGTATCACCCGACCTGCGGCCTCCGGTTTTGCCGAATCCCCTTCTTTTTGGGTGACCTTCGAATTCAAAGAAGGGGTAAAGTGGTGGGTAACGGAGTACTGGCTGGAGTCCGTGATGGTGCTCGTGCTAAATAGCAACGAGGTCGCCTCATAACGGGTGGGAACGACTTTTACAAAATAGCTAAAGCGACCGTTCACGAAACGTTTCGCACCGGTATCAGTCTCCCGCCCTCGGATCTGTTCAATCCCAGTAAGGGGGTTGATTTGCCCGGGAAAAGACTCACCGAACTCAAGGTGGTGAATCGCGTGGCTGAGGTTGAGGGTTTGAAACCCCTCATCCCCCAAATCGATCCTCGGGAGGCCGAGAAAGGTGGTGTGAAGTTCACCAGGAATGAACTGGAGGACCCCTGGTACCCTCGCAACGGAGAGCTCTACGCGGATGTTGCAGCCTTCTTTCGCCAAGAGCGCGGCGGCGAGCCGCATGCGCTCCGCCACGCACTGCACGAACGTCGGATTCTTCACGTCGAATCGCCATCGTCGTTGTTCATACGCGTTACGCACATCATCGCAGGTGAAACAACAATGTCCTTCATACAACTCGGCACCGTGGCAGGAGGGGCATTTGGGGTTTCCAACTTCTCGAGAGGGGTTTTGAAACGCGGCGTCGTTCGGGATCCTCGCCGCCTCGCCAATCGGCCGCGTCGTATCGGGCTCCACGCGTCTTTTCACCGCTTTCGCGGTGATGTGATCCATATGCACGCCGAGCGCGTCGATCGAGTTGATCACGAGGAAATCGCACGGGATGCGGTGGAAGGTGAGGTTCAGGGAGATCGGCATGTCGCCCCCGACCGTGGAATCCACCAGCATATCCTGCGTCGTGCGGGATGACAGGAAATACCGCGTTTCACTAACGATGAGCACCGAAATGATGATTAGAGATATAACGGAGAAAAGCCCACCCAAGATCGTCCGCTGGCGGGCATCGACCTCGAATTTTCGATCGAACTTTTGGAAAAGGTCGAATCGCCGGAACCCCTGCACCATAAAGCCACTACCGACCTGCATGGCAGAATAAGGGAGGGAATGCTAAAAAAAAAAAATAAGACGACACTATGGTAATGTTTCGATTTAATTAACGCGGTTACTTTTGATTGTTGATACCGAAGGGGGGAAAATAAATAAACAGGAGAAGATTCAGTTACCAGTTCACATCCTCCTCCTAGGGAGACCTGCCGCCCGCTATTCACCTCATGGTAAGGAGAGTGGTGACGCGCTGCACGCAGTTGCTAGGTTCTCTCCCACCTTTTCCTTATATATATATATATATATATATAATCAGAATATAGCATCTAAAAAAATCTTATAACACTGCCATCATCAACCATAATAGATATGGACGCTATTGCTATCGCCTCAAGTGTAAATAAGTCGACAGAATACCGTTTGTGCACTCTACTGGAAGGAAGATAAGAAGTCATCTATTTCAGTCTATTCTCACCATTTCTATGGACTTTTTTGTTGAGGGTAACCCCGAGCCCCCCTCTTTCTCTCTATACCAATAATTTTTTAAAGAGCATTCCTCCACTATGCGTGTGAAAATCAACCCTATCGAGGGTGAACTCCTTTACGCTACTGCGAACTCCACCCGCTGTCGTTTTTTGTTCACGATTACTGAAATGCGATTACTATTGGGGGAAAACGCCACGCTCAGGCCACCGATATCTTCATCCAACCCCAACCCCCAAGGATTCCCGGCGTTAAACCCTGGCGAAGAAACTCCTTCGCGTGGGATCTTGCTCGTGGAGGAAAGAATTCTCGTCAACCCGGCCGAATGCGTGAAAAGTTCGCCAGATTCCTCCGCCTTCCATCTCGCGGAGGAGGCTCTGATCGGAGTGGAAAGCAACCGCCGAACGATCGCGTTTGCGCTCCCGATCGAAAATCCACTCCGCGCAGGCGCGGGAGGTCTTTCGTCGCCGCTCCATTCCGCCAAACCCCTCTTTTTTATTTTACTTTATTTTTCACGCCTTCACTCGCCCCCACGGGGGCTTCGAAATCCGGAAAAAAAACGCCGCCTCGGGGCCGTCGGGGTCGCGTGAGGTGGGAGAGGCCTCGAAGTGGTCGAATCGCGCGCGTCCGCCGCGGCGGAGGGGGGGGATTCCTTGACGCCATGAAGCGCCTCGGAGCTCACGGGGGGGTTGATGCTCGTCGACGGTCAGTGCGATGGCATGGTGGGCTAAACTCTCTTCGGAAAAAAAAAAAGATATATAAAAAAAAAAGAAGTCAAAACAAACGGATCGAGAATAAACTACGACGTGGTGGTTTAACGGGATTCGTGGTTTACTTCTTTTTGTGGTGACTATCTATGCCGCAAAACGAGGCTTTGTGGAATTGATACCGGAAGCTTTTCTATTACTTACACAAAGGTAACGCCTAATGATAGAAAAGTAGGGCTTTGTGAGGGTGGGAAACGCATTTAAGACATATGCATCCAAATGGAAAAAAAATAAGCATTCCCCATATACCTACCGAAACAGACGATGTTAGAAGGAGCCAGTGGGTTTCTTTAAGTCGCCTTTGGCATGCTCCATCGCGAGAGCAGATCAAACAAACAAACCTAACGAGCAGGTTTGTCCTTTCGTAGTCTTATGATCACGGCAACAATAACCATCGTTCATTACGCCATTGGATCTTGCAAAGGAGCCTATTAGTTCCAATACTTAGCAGGTATTTCTCGTGAGAACGGCAAGCATCATATCTATCACTCGATCGATTTGCCAAGTTTGCAAAAAAAAAAAAAACTTCCTCCAATGCGCGTTCGGATTGATTTAGCTTTCCTCAAGACGGTGGTGTTCACCCTCGTCTTTGTCAAGGGAGCGAAAGGTCGTTCTACGCAGCGTAGGGCTTCAACCGCGCCAACGAAAAAGTGCGCTCCGAGCCTCACCAACTCCTGTTAGATTGCCTGAATGTTTATCAACCGCCATCTTGGACGCTTACCAAGGGTATCCGGATTGAATATCTCAGAATTTCCCGCAAGGATTATTCAAGGGCCCTTTCTAAACCGCATGGTGATTTGACAACACGCCAATGAGAATGGTCGGATGAAATATCCGTTAGAAGACCGTGAGAGGCCAGACTATTGGTTCATATTGCATAATGATGTATTTTATCCAGTATCATTTTTTTTTTTGAAGGGGTAACACCTTGCCTCCGCTCATAATTTGTATCTGTGCGTGCGTGTGTATATATATGTGTGTGTTAATAATGCATTTTGGAAAAATATTCCAGCAATCCTCCAGAAAAAGCCATCACTTTCCACGTGGATAACGCCCCATGCGGCTTTCCCCAAACCCCCCTCCCTAAACGATCGGAATTACTCCGAAAAGAACTCCAGAGCCGCCTCATCCACCTCCTCGCTCCACCCGTAGGCCTCCGTGCTCGACGCGACCGCCTCCGCCGCCTTTTCATCCGTTTTCACGACGGCAGGCGGAGTCGCCTCGTCGACTTTCCATTCGATCGGCGCGATGAAAACCTGCGAGCTGCCCTCGGCGAGAAAAATCCCGTGCGAGGGGAGCGATACCGCTTGAGAGGTGGAAGCGCGTATCGCAATCGGCGCCCGATGATGCTCCACCGAGAACTCCATCTCACCGGAGTAATACGTGGGACCCAAAAGGAGGTGGATGTGTGCGAAATATCACGTCGTGAGAGGCGACAAATGAAAATATCCCTTTATGGATTTTATTTTTATTTTTTTTAGCCCTCACAATCGATAAAATAAAACCAAAAGCAAAAGAGGAAAGAAGCATGATATGAGTTGCTAAACCACATGGCGTCGCGGGGGGTTCACCACCCACTAAGTATAACTAAGTATAGAAGTTATTGCCGGGTGGTTTGCTCGAATTGCAATCGAACATTCATGTCAAATATGTAATGCATTTGAAAAAGATAAATATGGTCTAAATGGAACAATGTTATCGCTTTTATAATTTAAAAATAGGAGTTTGATCTTATGCTTGATAATATTTGGAAGTGTATGAATGTTTCAATTAAGTGGTCAACTTGAATTTTTCTACAGAATGCATGACCATAAAAGGTTCTACAGGTATTTTGTTCTGCATTTCAAGGATAGTTGCGCCCTTTTCGCTGTTTATAAGGGCACAAACCCTAAGAAATTTCACAAAACAAAAAGTAGCGTATAGTCGTAATTCAGGATGCACAGAAATTATGACAATTAACCATTCACTCATGGTTAATGTAATTCATAAAATAACCTCATAAAGAGTTGAATTATGTATATTGAAGTGTATATTTTTTTTCTTCTGGGCTTATTCTACTCCTTTTTTGGCCTACGAAAGAGTTCGATCGGAAGCGATGAAAGGAAACCCATCAAAGTGGCTGTATCATTCCCACATCTCAGACGAAGGAAGGGAGTTCTTCACTCGTTTTTCACCCAATCCCCTCCTCACCCACGAGTTTGGATTAATCCCCCCTCTCCCCAGTTTTTTCTTCAAAAAAAAAATGTATATTATATGTGATATAGATATATTTTTGTTGTTGTTATAGACTATCGCTTCTTCGTTCGGGTATTTCCGATGGGTTGGATGCGATTCGTGTTTGGTTCGCCGCAAATCCCCATCCCGTTCGAGTTACGAAGCGGCCTCCACCCGCGCCGGGGGCGATCGTGCGCCGAAAAGCCGCCGCTGCAACTCCGGCGGCATCCGAATCACCACCCCCGACGACGGCGGCGGCGGCGGCGACCCCCCCGTCCGCTCCGACGTCGATCGCGAGCGCTGCACGGAGGGGTGTTGAATCACGCCGCGCGGGATCGAAAGGGAGCCCGGACGAACGTGCGGCCCCACGTCCTCGCGGGGGATATTCGAAATGGGGTGGATCGGGTTGGGGTTCGCGAGGGTTCGCGCGTCGGGGGCCACCGCCTCGGCCCCCTCGGGCTGCCCGGGCGCGAGGATCGTCTGATTCGCCCGGAGAAACGTCTCGACGGCGGAGAAGACGGGTTTGCGCGGGCGCGGCGTCAACCCGACGCGTTTGATTAAACAGCTGAGGATGCATTTGAGCTCGATTTCGGCGGCGATGAGGCCCATCTCCTTCTCGGCGGTGATAATCGCATTCGGGATCGGTCGTAGGATCTCCATCGTCGCGCCGGTGCTGACCTTGATCAGCTCCACCACCGCCTCCGAGCGTTCTAGAAGCAGACGGTGCTGCAACTCGGTAAGGATGACTTTCATTTCCAGCATTTTGGGTTCACCTAATGATACACGTTTGAGGGGGTAATACTAAAATAATAATAGTAATACTAATAATAATAATAATAATAATAATATTAATAGACGATTGTATTGCGATTCTATTATTCTACACTAGAAAGTAAACTTTGATTCGGGAAGACGAGGTGGCGCGGTACGATATATACCAAGACGTGAGGATACGAAACCAAAGATTACCGTTTCACTTCACATCCATTCATGAAATTAATAATCTATAAGTAAGGTCCAAAAATGAGATGAACATATAGGAAGACGGTTGGAAAAATCGAACCAATCCGCTTTTTATCATTGCTTATTCAAAGTGCAACCCACCGATTTAGCGTCCGTAAAGTGACAAAGGCGAGACCTCATTGAACTCTCTCTTTCTATAGTTGTATATGTACTATTGGGTAAAAATCCCGACCAAAGGATCCTCCCACCCCCCTTCTTAGCGAAACAAATGAATTCCTGTAGCGCTGCCTCCCGCTGAAGTCGAGGTAAACGATTTGATGATGGCGTAATGGTACACAGATTAAACAGAAGAAAAAAGGAGGTGAACTGGAGGGGGGAAAAGGGTGATGGTGGCGTGAGAAAAGCAACGTCTCCACGCGCGCGGATGGGGGTTTCATTCATCCCCTTTCACACCCTTACGAGGCATCCAAAAGATGCCTCCTTTCGCCCTCACACCAGCTGGCAGCTCTCGAGGAAAGATCTGAAACGCGCATTTTCAATCTCATCCGTTTCCCTTGCCTCGCCGCACCCGTGATGAAATGCTTTTTGGGGGTGATCCCAGCGAGGCTGCAACCCACCTTACGATGCAGGCCCCTCTTCAAACATCCATTCAGCGCCACCACAGCGCTCCGCCAGGAACGGACGGCCGCGAGGGGAAGTCGTGGGAAGTACGTCCTGGTATCGGCGCTCAACATCCCCCCTTTTTTTCTTTTTCATTCGTTCGAAGAAATAAATGAAAAGATAAGACTTGCCCGATCAAAAGAGCAGATCACACGTCTGTGGGCGTAACAAAAGAGAAGAAACCAAAACAACCGCCCACGATGTTGCCGTCAAGCGGAACGTCGCACCCCCCCCCCCCCCCCCCCCTTGCGGATATTTAAGATCATCAAACGCTAATTTCGAAGGGAGTCTAATCATTCCTTCGAAAGGGATGCCTTGTAAAGGGTAGTTCACGCGGGAGCCTGACCGCGCTTCGTTATTAGTTACTATTATTTTCTATGCGTTCTCTAAAAACAAAACCAAAAAGATACCGGCAAAATACCACTCCCTGTTTCCACCATACCGATCTAACCAACAGGCCAACGTGGATCTGCGATAAATAGACGTTACACGCTCTCTCTTTCCCTCTTTCTCTCTCTCTCTCTCTCTTTCTCTCTATTAGATCTATCGCTATTGATATCGATCGATAGATAGGTCGATAATGATGCGTCCTACTTCTTCTTCTTTTGTCGACCCTTCACAGGGAGACTTTTGGCGGACG